CTTAAGAAATTTAAATGGCAACCACTAATTTTTTTTACTCATTTCAATAGAGAATTCAATTTTAAAAAGAATTATGGTGAAAATAACTTTTTATGTTAAACCATTTTTAAATAATCATCGTTTTAAGGGTAGAAAAGTGTCCTATTTGAAGGCAGATTTTGCTATGATCATTTTTATGAATTTAATTTTATAAAGATGATATCAATTGCAAATTATCTGCAAATTTATTAAGAAAAAAAATTTTTTTATTAAAACATGTAAAAAGAAGTTAAATGGACATTTTAAAAATCGCTCTCTTATACGCGATCTTTAATTAGAGTATTTGTAGAATATAGCAATATCGGTCAATGCATAACATAATGTTTCCGGACTTTTTCCTATAGGAGTTTTAGCATTGATATCTAACATACATAACTAGTGTACACTTTTATCTGTGACCGTTGAAACGTGTTCAATTGTTATAATCGTTTTATCGACAATTAGTGTCATTTANCGCTTTATCGACAATTAGTGTCACTTTAAGTACGTCATGCTGTCAAACATATTACAGGTAGTAGTTTGTAAGTTTATACAAAAATTATCAGTGGTCATTATAACATTATTATTATTCAATACGCAACAACGTTTCCAAACTTATGCCTATAGGAGTTGTAATATACTTTTCAACTACCAACTAATAATTATTTTTAACTCAGATTAAAGTAACTAGTCCACATATTTTCTTATATTACAGTTGATCTATCGACAGTTATGGGATAGTTTGAGGTAAATTAAAGACTATAAAATAGTTTCTGTAACGTGTAACGTCACAAATTCAAAGGTGGTCCGTTTATGATTTTTTGTTATGTCTACTTATTTATTTTATCGCGCGAAAGAACCTTTTTCTGACACAGCGGTGTCAACCACTCATTATTTTGCCTCTGACCGCTAGATAAGGCGATAAAAGAGAAATATAATTAAAATCGAATTGTTTATCAGTATTGATCCCTTCCAAAAAGACTGGCCGTTATCGATATGAAATTGCCGTTAGATCGGTGTTGACTCTTCTCTATTCTTTCTTCTGTCATTGACCGTGCTAGGGTGCACACGTTTATTTTTTGATTGACACTTTTTGTACAATGATGGAGTAGAGCCACAAACGGCGAACGGCCAGGTTTTTTCGACGAAGCATCCAGACTATCGGATGGGTCTCTTCGGAGACCGGGTATCGTTTTCTTTTTTATATTATATTTATGTAATGAGCTATATTTTATTAATTATTTTATTGTAAATTAACTTAATTTTGTTTATGTGTGGAGAGCACGTGTTTCCCTTTTCTTCTAGCCAACGCTAAGGAGCGAGTGTCCAGACCGCTCCTGGTGTTCTTCATTAATTTCCTGTTAACATTAACGGATGTGTTCCAATACCATCCGTGATGTTTGTAATATTATTTGTTTAAATATTTTATTTTATTTGTATTGCCTTTATTTGTAGACATGGTTTTTGATGCATTCGCATTTTTGTCCATGTTTAACTTAATTTTCTTTTTTTAACAATTAAATTAAATTTCCTTATTAATTTCAATTGTAATATTTATTTTATTGCGCGAGTAACTTAATTACTCGCGTGTATTTCATTCCTATTCCTTAATCTAGACACGGGCTACGGTATGTTTTACATATCAACCACATACAACTTTGATTGTCATAATTGTGTTCTATAAACCACGAGGCATTATAGTAATTTATACATATAACGACATATTAACTTAGATTATACTTTTAATTAACTTAAAATTAAATTCCACCTATGGTCCGGTAATCATATCTGATAGGTGTGACACCTCGCCTAGGTGGTGGCGACCCTTGCTACTCTAGACAGTCGTTATGCAAGTGGCAAACCACGTTGTTGTTACAGGCCGAATTACTAATCTAAAAAGCCCGCTTGCAAACGCATCATTTTTCGATTTTGACTTTTATACTCATGCCGAAATTAACCTTAAGTTTTTAACCTGTACTGACTTAAGATTATTTTTAATATTTCATTAAGTTATATTTTAGCTTCGATGCAAAGCTGAAAAGGTATTAATTTTACTACTATGTACTTATTTGTTTTTTGTCTAAAGTCTAATGAAAGTTTCAAAATTTTAATTCATAGATACTACTATAAAGAACATTTTAAAAGGACTAAATGTATCATTCCCCATTCTAAAAATAATTTAAATAACAATAAACATAATTTTCTAAATTTTTAAAAGACTAAACCACTTCCTTAGTTTCACATATGGTTGTATTGATCTGTATACTACATTTAAAGAAAATTTAGCATGCAAGTGTATAATTATATTAACAGCGAGAGCATCCACAAAAGTCGAGACATTTAAAATAGTTATCTACATTAAAATTCATCACGAGCCGCATCATTTATTAGTGCCTATTTTCAATTTTAATATATCTGTAAGTGAAACAGCCCTTACCGTAGGCAATGCAATAATTGATAGTCGTTGATTAACCGATGACTACCAATTGATATTATTATTGATTGTAATAATATTATATTATCAGAAAATATAGTGTTTTTAAATTTTGTTATTAAAATGAAAAATAACAGATTATATCATACCAATTTTCAATTCACAGTTCAAGTATATTTTCAAAATGTATGAATATTTAAAGAATCTTCTAATTTCTATGGTATTTTTTTGCTATTTGCTAAAATTTTGAACAACAGATATTTTATTTAAGTGACAAGTTTAGAATTCAAGTTAAATAAGAATATTAATTTCTGATGGATTAGTTTTATAATTTACACTTTTTCATTACTTAGATTAGCAAGTTTAGTCAACATTTTTACAACTGTTGACAGTAAAGAAGTTAGAAAATTTTATGATTGTTTTAATTTTTACTTTTAATAAAATATCTTGATACATTAAGTTTGATTTTTTAACTTTTGTGTTTCATATTTGTTAAAGTACAACCTCATAAAGTTTTATTTTATTTCATAACAGTTCTCTAATTTATTAATTCAAAAATTGATATCATTTAATATTTGCTAACATTTTGTACATGACATTACATTGTTGAGTACTAATTAAGTATTTTATCTTTATCATGCATCTTTAATTAGTATAATTATTGGATAAAAGAAATTTAAAAGTCACAAATAAAAATTTATTTATAAATAAATAAAATAAATCTGTATTTATTTTGTAATATTATCCTAATATTTCTAATTTATACTGTGTCCGAGTTGGTGTGATTATAATTATTTGTTGTATACCTTGATTAATATTGGAAATTGGAGAAGTGAACAATTTTTAACTACTATGGGAGTTGGATAAATCTACTGGGTACGTAGGAGATTTAGGGAATTTGTTTTTTAATTAAGATTGGGTCAATGTAAAGGAAGTTAAAACATGTTGTTCAGGATAAGGACTTTGACTATAGTTAAGTGAATCATATGAAGATTCTTATACTTATGATTGAGATTACTTATTGCCTATAAATAATGCTAGAAGAATGAGTACGGGATATAGGATTATTTTTTCAAACTGTTGACTGAAAAGAGCAAAATTCATTTTTGATCGGAACAATAGGTTGAACTTGAGAATTTATAAGATTGGCAAATTGCTGAATAGAGTTGAGAAATTAATTAATTAATTTCAAATTTATTAATTATGCCAAGTATACTTTGATTGTATAGGTAATTATCAGAGACTGACTAGCTCATCGTGCTACAGCGCGATGGCTGTTAGAATAATGAGGAGGTGCTGCGACTGCGATTAAACAATTTAATTATTTTTATTTTTGATCTGATTAATGAATGTTTTAATAAAATACATTTTTATTCATATTGGTCCAAGTAAAATTTGTTCAAAATTAGTATTATTGTGATAAAAGCATCGGGCGCTCAATATACAAAAAATATGGCACAAAGCACCCACGCTTTTATCACAATAATACCAATATTTTTCGTTCATTATTTAAGCTTATTTTAAAAATTATTTTTAACTTTTAAGTTCGATGTAATTAGAAGCATTTTTTTTAGTTTTTTTAAACTATATTTATTTTTAACTTTTTGGTTTCATGTTATGATAGTAGTTACTATCAATATCATGGTTGTAACGTGTAACGGGAAAACAGGGTTCAATTCCGGAGAGGGGTCTGAGAAACGGCTACCACATCCAAGGAAAGCAGCAGGCACGTAAATTACCCACTCACACATCACACATACAAGTGAAACTAATATAAGCGTGATATAAAAATCAATCGTGCATAAATTATAATTAATGTATAATAATAAAAAATAATAATTATATTTTTATTCTATTAATTAACGGTTAATTTAGAAAATACAATTGTCAAATTATTATTGTAAACAACAAAAATTTGCACAGTTATAAAAAATAAGAAACAGTAATTAATAATACGTTTGGTGTTTGCTTAATAATATATACCTTCGTGCCGTAACTACCCTGCCCAATCACAATATATATATATATTGTATTATATATTCCGTGCTATTTTTATAATTTTACAACAGCGAGCAACTAATTTACTAAAATAACTACATTAATTCTAGTAGATTGAAAATTAAATTCGCAGAAAGGAATGATATCTAAAAAAAAATCAAAATTTTGCCAGCCGCAGCGCCTCTTCAAGTTGTGGCTATTAAACATACCAAATGATTTTTTAATTTTCAAAAATACATAGGAGTACAAGGATACTTAGAAAATGATACTTGACGCGCGATGAAAACGCTGTCAAAACCTAAGGCCGGTTTCACACATACACGGTTTTCGCACGGCACACCGCACAGCTGCTAGCGCTGCGCTGGTAGTAACGTATGTTATTACAGAGTTGTATTCATTGTAGTCATTGTTTATTGTCATAAACGGTTGTGCTGATGAACAATAATAAAAAAATTGCTCTTATAGTTCTAAACAGACGCCATCAGCGTTGTGTTAGAAATATACGGAAAAGAATTTATTGGATTCATCCATATATTTCTACAAGGAAAGAAATGAGCGACTTTTATACTACGTTTAAGGACCTTCGAGAACACGAGTATAAGTTTTTTATTTATTTTCGAATGTCCATAAAATCTTTTGATGAATTACACGACCGGCTAAAAAAAACATTGCAGCGTCAGAATACTTTCATGAGAGACTGCATCGAACCTTTACAAATGTTAGCTGTAACCCTGAGGTAAGTAAATAACAAATACAAATTATTAAATTTTTTTAATAATATTTTATGTATTAAAATGTAGCAAACTTTTACAATTTATTTGTGAATATTAGAAATTATTTATTAGTCTTTAAGAAGAAAAAACAATGCATTTTACAAGTATTACTTAATAAATAATAGTACAAAAAAAAAATATAATACAATATATATTATGTATAGTATCTGAATTATTAAGTAAAATCTAAATCTAATAATGATGAGTCGTCTGTGTAAGTACTGACAACGGAAGATGGATTGTCGTCAATATGGTTATATTGGCGAGGGACGTTTTTATGTTTGGGGCGATGCTCTGTAGTTTGATAATGCATAGAAGATATTCCTGGTTGATTCGTAGACAGTTGCAGATCATAGTTATGCATATTTCTTTGCGTAGGAGTATAGCGATTATAATTAATACTTGGAGCTGTTGTTAATGAATGAGAGTTGAAATCCGTGTTAGGTTGTTGTGATTGAAACCGGCTCTGCTTAATATTGGTCAATAATTGTAGTACACCCATCTGGAAGTTTATAGTTTCATCTTCTGTAAATGTATGCAAAGTTGGAACAATGCCTTTGAAAAATGAAATGTGACGATCTTCTGGTTCTTCCAACGCTTTTAACATTCTCATCTCAACCTCATCTATTTTTCTTTTACGAGATCCAAGTTGCTTTTTTGGTGGTATTTTAAATTGGCCTCTTTTGTTGTCATTTTCTAAAAAATTTGGTTCATTATCTTCGTTACCCGAGTTGATAGATAAACTATCTTCAGTTGACCGTGGACTGAATACTTTTGTTAAAAATTTTAGCTGTTCTGCGTATACATATTTCTTTATTGCTGATGCACCAGCTCCAGATTTATTTAGCGATTTCTCTTTTTTTATAGACTTATGAAATGCATCTCGAATATTTACCCATCGTTTCATAACTTCCTCACCTAAAAAAATTTTAAATAATTTACTTTGGTTTCAGGTATCTAGCAAGTGGGTGTACTTTCACAGATTTACATCTCAGTTATAGACTTGGCATTTCAACCATCAGCAACATCGTTAAAAAAGTATGTATTAGTATCTGGGAAGTAATGTTACGGGAATGTATACCTCTTCCTACTAAAGAAAAATGGGAATTGATTGCTGAAGAATTTGAGAAACGAGCTAATTTTCCACACTGTTTAGGGGCAGTCGATGGAGAGCATATCAGAATTATTAATCCTTTGGGTTCAATGTATCATAATTACAAAGGTTATTCTTCTGTAGTTTTAATGGCTGTAGCTGATGATAATTATCGCTTTATATACGTCGACATTGGGAGTTACGGAAAAGATTGTGACTCATCTGTATTTAAAAGGTCATCATTGTGGACATCAGTTATAAACGGTAATCTAGAAATACCAACTGAAACTAATGTTACCGGAATAGAAAATCACATGTTACAATATTATTTCCTTGGAGACGAAGCATTTGCGCTCCATAAACATTTACTTCGTCCTTTTGGTGGATCGCAACTTTCAGAAAAAAAAAGGATATTTAATTATCGCCTAAGTAGGGTTCGAAGATTTGTGGAATGCACATTCGGCATTTTGAGCAACAAATGGAGAATATTTCACAGACCAATAAACTTAGAACCCGACTTTGCAGTGACAATTGTCAAAGCTTGTGTCATTCTACATAATTTTGTTCGAGACAGAAACGGATACCAAGTGGAAGACACCGAAGTAATAATAGGTCTGGAAGAAGTACAGAGAGAACATGAGACACGAGGAGGATTACCAGCTAATAACATCCGAAATGTTCTAAGTGATTATTTTGCATCAAATGCAGGGGCTTTAGAGTGGCAAATGTTAAAAATATAGAACTTATACGTCATAATTATTGTATACTTGAATATTATTAATAAAGTATGCGATATACGTCATAGTATAATATAAATATTAAAAGTATTTTATGAATTGTTTTAACTACAAAAAATAAATTTAATAATATGTTAATTTACCGTAATCATTTTTTTGTTTATCGTCGTAATTATTGAAATCACTATTCAACTCCATACACACTTCTTTCCAGGCTTTCTTCGTTTCATTTCTATCCTGATATAGGTTGGATGTTTTATCCCACAATACGATCTTCTATAAGTGAAATTAATAAATCGACAACCATAGTTGTCATTTTAATTTTTTTATACTCGGAGAAAAATTAATTGTAGAAAAATTAATTGAGTGTGCCGTGCGACGACCGTACCGCGTGTGTGTGAACAGTATCGTATTATGCAATACATTACTGACCGCAAACATGTCGTGAACCGTGTGGACTTGCACGGCTGCAACACGGACACGGCACGGTCGCGATAATGTGTGAAACCTTTCATAAACTGTCATATATTAGTAATTCGTCGCGGAACCATTTAGACAGAAACCGTATATGTGTGAAAAGGCCCTAAGTGTTTGAATAAACCAATTGTTCTATTTTTGCCAAACGGCAAAAATCAAACATGAGCGTAGGCCATCATTGGAAACGCGCTTCTTTATTGCAGTGTGTAAGCGATTATAGAAATATACAGTATCAATTTAGACTATTGTCGCCAGCGTTTCCGACGAAAAAGCATAGTGTGAAACCGGCTTTATGAAATAAAACTGTACTTATCTGTTCGCGCCGAGTGTGATAGCTGCACTGATTGGGTGTAATCAGGTGGTAGTGCTTGTGCGCTATCACCTGTTAAGACGCCTTATCAGTTTATTACTGTTGTTCGGTCGGTTTTTTTTTTGTAAAAATGTAATGTGTTCCTGTAGTAGTATTATACAGTTTTTAGTTTAAGTTACATCGGTTTTCATTTGAATTAATTGTTGTTTTTGTATGAATCAATAAAAACTTTGTTCAAGTTTCGTTTTAAAATACATTATTCATATTATTATTTGAGGACCTATAGTTGTTTTCATTTTGTTTCTTCTTTTTTTCTTTTATATTGTGACACGGCACCGCCTTTTGCTCTAGGCTGGCGCTCACCCGTGTCTCTCTCGATATCAGCCGTCCAGCTATTAATATGACAATCGGTTGTCATCGGTCGTCTCCCCGCCCTTGACACTGAGATAAGGCCGCCGCCGAATATGGATTACCGAGATTGCTTTCTATTCCGTTTTCGACGTACACCTAACTGGTTGCTCGACTCCGTTTTTGCGCCCTCTGTTTACCTTTCTGCCTTTTTGGTTTGTTTTATTGTACAACGTTTAGCGTCGGTTATACCGGGACCTTGACTTATCCTACATCTTAGGATACTACAGTGCGGTGTAACTAGTGTTGGCGTTATATCAAAACCGCCAGTGCGAACTATATCAATATATATATATAATACTATTTACTCGTCAGTGCGGCTTTGCATTAGTTTACCTTCTGGTTTAATTTATTCACCAGTGCGACTTTACCTTAGTCTTATTTTGTGTTTTACTACGAATCAACTGTGCGGTCAACCTTTTCTTTTTGGATTACGTATTAATTGGTTGGTGCATTGCTGTAATAAAAACTACAGATATTGTCTTACTGTTATAAATGGTAATTCATTTTATTTATATAGAGCATAGCCGCATTTGTATTCATTAGTCTGGGTAAGTTTATTTTATATAACCAAAACAAAAAATATTTTTCCTTTAGCGATTTTAAATTGATTAAAAATTTTTGTTGATTAATATTTGCCCCTATATTCATCCGTACGGCAAAGTTCTAATTCCCATTTATACTTGGGATCTTTATTTTTAGAACAGCCCAGGCGGCAACATTATCAATAATGGAATACATATCACAGAGAATGCTTAATATTAGTTATTTAAGAAGGTGTATGTTACGTTAAAAATAAACTAGTGAACAATAGAAGAATTTCCGGGAAGAGCGATAAAGAATAATGCTTACTACGTTAAGGTTATATACAATTTTTTTTTATTGAATAGATGTTGTTTGTTATGCTGGTGGACAATTATTGTAAACAGATTAATATAGATCGGCCCTAAAGGTTGATTATTTTACTGGCGAGTAGTATTTATATATTTTATATAACATTAAATTCTAAATATGTTTCAGAGTAGAACGGCCGTACTGTGTAATTCTCCGAATTATGCGTCAAATTAAAATAAATATAGTTTAAAAAAACTAAAAAACACGCTTTTAATGCACATCGAACAAAAAAGTTAAAAATAATTTTTAAAATTAACTTAAAACAATAATGAACGAAAAATACTAGAATTATTGTTTTAAGTTAATTTTAAAAATTATTTTTAACTTTTTAGTTCGATGTGCATTAAAAGCGTGTTTTTTAGTTTTTTTAAACTATATTTATTTTTCACTTTTTAGTTTCATGTTATTATAGTAGTTACTATCAATATCATGGTTGTAAGGGGTAACTGGAAATCAGGGTTCGATTCCGGAGAGGGAGTCTAAGAAACGGCTACCACATCCAAGGAAAGCAGCAGGCGCGCAACGTGGTGGTAGTGACGAAAAATGACATACGGGAATCATCCCCCGTAATCGGAATGAATATACTACATATCTCTTAATGAGTATAAAGCGTATTAATATATAAATTATAATAGTAATTAGAATATATATATATTGACACTGCACCGCCTTTTGCTCTAGGCTGGCGCTCACCCGTGTCTCTCGATATCAGCCGTCCAGCTATTAATATGACAATCGGTTGTCATCGGTCGTCTCCCCGCCCTTGACACTGAGATAAGGCCGCCGCCGAATATGGATTACCGATATTGCGTCCTGTTCCGTTTTTGACGTACACCTCGACTGGTGTATTTTTCCTGTTTCGTTTCTTTCTTTCGACGTATATAGTGGAAGCTAATGTGACAACTGTTGATACATACGTATATCTGGATTCATAGATAATTGTGCGCCTTTTACTCGTTAAGTGAACGCTATAACCACATATACGTAAATATATATATATATCTATATATTTATAGGTAATTGTGCGCCTTTTTCTTTTAAGTGAACGCGACAACTGTATATATACTTGTAAATATATATTTATAAATCATTGTGCGCCCCTTTTGGATTACGCGTTAATATATATATATACATGTAAAGCGACCTAAGTACGTAAACGTATCACGCATGATATATAGCCGTGTTTTGTGGGCGGGAGTGGCGGGGGGAACATTATACACGAGGCATATACGGCGTCGGCTGTAGGAATATATCAATGAATATTAATACATGAATATATATATTAATATTAGCGGTGGCGGTAGGCACTTTCGCGGGCGTCGACGACACGATGTTCGGCGTGATCCTGGGGCGTCAAAAGGTTAGCAGCGTAGATGACGACGGTGCGCGAGTGCGGATCAGTTTGTTGACGTTGTCACTTTGACAACGAGAAGAAGACTACGGTGTCATTAGCGGCGGGACATCGTGCGGCACTTGCTGGACTTTGCACCGCGGCGTATAACGCGCGGTGTTGGTCAGTTAAATACTCATAAAATAAATCGACGGCTGATAAAGGTGGCACGAGTCGTGGGGCATCGTGTATAATGAAACGACGCGAGGCCGTGTCAATCACAATAAAAATTTGTTAAATATATATATATAACTAATGACACGCGCGCGTCTACGGGTTGGAAAATATTGTTGTCTACGACTGGTGAGCGGGGTAGGACGAATGCGTTACGACAGTCTAGTCTCAAGGTCATACACGACGGAATACGCGACATAATAACACGTGCCACGTGGAGTTACAAACTTACAAACAACAAACATACATGTGAAACTAATATAAGCGTGTTAATTACGTTTGTTTTCCAGTGGTGGTTTCTGAAATAACTGGATTAAATAAAAAACTCCTTAAATGTTTTAAAGGGATTTTAAGTACAATTGGCGTGTAATGATGTAAATCAAGAGAAATATGAGAATTATGCAAAAGATACTTTTATGGTGTATTTAAAATTTTATCCTTTGTATAGAATTGGTTTCTACATCACGGATACTATGTCTTTCAAGTTTCCATAGGATTTAAATACATAGTTAAAAAGTTATTGAACTTGCTCATTTTCCAATTTGTAGTTTATTTGAGGAAGTGTGAAATATAGATATCACATTTAGACGCTAAAATACCCGTAAAACTTTGAGATAAGATACCAACACAGACTTCATACATATCCTTTTCATTTCATCTGATTCTCTTATTATTTTTATTAGTTTGCAAGCGGTCTTTTTAGATTAGTAATTCGGCCTGTAACAACAACGTGGTTTGCCACTTGCATAACGACTAGCTAGAGTAGCAAGGGTCGCCACCACCTAGGCGAGGTGTCACACCTATCAGATATGATTACCGGACCATAGGTGGAATTTAATTTTAAGTTAATTAAAAGTATAATCTAAGTTAATATGTCGTTATATGTATAAATTACTATAATGCCTCGTGGTTTATAGAACACAATTATGACAATCAAAGTTGTATGTGGTTGATATGTAAAACATACCGTAGCCCGTGTCTAGATTAAGGAATAGGGATAAATACACGCGAGTAATTAAGTTGTTTGGCCGCCGATCATTTGTAGCGCCACTTGCGTACCACCGGCCAACGCGATCTGAATTGTTGCGCGTCGTGGTGTACGGCGAGTCTGGTTTTGGCGCTTAAGCTATTGGGAACGATCCTATGACGGACAGTGGAGCGCTTCAATTTGAGAGTCCACAGCTAAGTTCCGTGATCGCCGGTTTAATAGCCAAAAAGAAATTTTGGATGCTCAACCACGGTTTCTTGTTGTGAAGAACGTGTCTGGTCCTTGTATACGGGTGAACGCAGTGGCCAGCTTGCATATAAAGAATTTAAATATAAAAGTGTCCAGTAACGGTAGATTAATTTATGTAATATTGTATTTAGTCATAATAAAATTTACATTTGTTCTGTCAAAGAATATTGTCATTACATTAATTTATTTAGTCAAGTCGTGTCCATAATAGGCGAAGATACTGGGTGCTCCGACCAAGAGGTGTTTTCGAGTCGGTGGTATATCATAAGTTACTCGCGCAATAAAATAAATATTGAAATTAATAAGGAAATTTAATTTAATTGTTAAAAAAAGAAAATTAAGTTTAACATGGACAAAAATGCGAATGCATGAAAAGCCATGTCTACAAATAAAGGCAATACAAATAAAATAAAATATTTAAACAAATAATATTACAAACATCACGGACTGTATTGGAACACATCCGTTAATGTTAACAGGAAATTAATGAAGAACACCAGGAGCGGTCTGGACACTCGCTCCTTGGCGTTGGCTAGAAGAAAAGGGAAACACGTGCTCTCCACACATAAACAAAATTAAGTTAATTTACAATAAAATAATTAATAAAATATAGCTCATTACATAAATATAATATAAAAAAGAAAACGATACCCGGTCTCCGAAGAGACCCATCCGATAGTCTGGATGCTTCGTCGAAAAAACCTGGCCGTTCGCCGTTTGCGGCTCTACTCCATCATTGTACAAAAAGTGTCAATCAAAAAATAAACGTGTGCACCCTAGCACGGTCAATGACAGAAGAAAGAATAGAGAAGAGTCAACACCGATCTAACGGCAATTTCATATCGATAACGGCCAGTCTTTTTGGAAGGGATCAATACTGATAAACAATTCGATTTTAATTATATTTCTCTTTTATCGCCTTATCTAGCGGTCAGAGGCAAAATAATGAGTGGTTGACACCGCTGTGTCAGAAAAAGGTTCTTTCGCGCGATAAAATAAATAAGTAGACATAACAAAAAATCATAAACGGTCCACCTTCGAATTTGTGACGTTACAGAAACCCCCCTTGAGAAGGTTTGAAACAACGTGACAAATCTTCTCAAAAAGAGAAAACGAACACTCAAAGTGGACCTCAACCTTTAAGCAAAACAAGAAAAACAAAATTAAAATAGAATAAAGAGAATAAAATAAAATAAATTGAAAATAAATCAATCAAATATACATTATGAGATAATGAAATCATATAAAATTATTATTAAGAATTGAATAAAACGAAATTTAAAATAGAATCAATTTTATAGACTAGACGTAGACATTGGAGACAAGTACTTTTTGAGAAAGATCACATTAAATGTACCCCGAAGCTTTCCTGTCTCTGGATCTTTCACAACATATGCATTTTGATGTTTAACATCAGTAACAACAAATGGTCCTTCGTACAATAAAAAAAATTTGCTGATCATTCGGTCCACACTAGAACTAAGTTTATGAGAACGAACGAGAACTAAATCTCCTATTTTAAAGGAAATAGCAGGGCCTTGTACGATCGTGACGCAGTTTTCGTTGATTTGATTTGTAAAGTTGCATTTCACGGGCCATTATATATTTCTGTTCTTTGGATAAGTCTGAACCTGGAGGAAACTGTATTATTTTCTTTATAGGAGATGATTTTATATCACGGCAAAACAATTCGTTTGGTGTAAATCCAGTAGCTTCGTGAAGAGTATTGTTAATTACCCATTCAATATAGGGGACATATCGTGGCCAATTAGAGTGGTATTCATGACAATATGTTCTAAAAAATCGACCCAACTCACGCATAACTCTTTCTGATGGATTCGATTGTGGATGATACACACTTGTGTGGGTTGGTGAAATGCCTAACTCAATCAAACGTGATTGCCAAATTCGGCTGCCAAATTGTTTTGCTTGATCTGACACTACAACCTGCGGCTTTCCATAAGTGGCAATATAATCATTAGTCATTCGATTGATCATAGCTAACGCGGTAGCTTTCTTCAAAAAATATTTTTCCTTTAGCGATTTTAAATTGATTAAAAATTTTTGTTGATTAATATTTGCCCCTATATTCATCCGTACGGCAAAGTTCTAATTCCCATTTATACTTGGGATCTTTATTTTTAGAACAGCCCAGGCGGCAACATTATCAATAATGGAATACATATCACAGAGAATGCTTAATATTAGTTATTTAAGAAGGTGTATGTTACGTTAAAAATAAACTAGTGAACAATAGAAGAATTTCCGGGAAGAGCGATAAAGAATAATGCTTACTACGTTAAGGTTATATACAATTTTTTTTTATTGAATAGATGTTGTTTGTTATGCTGGTGGACAATTATTTTAAACAGATTAATATAGATCGGCCCTAAAGGTTGATTATTTTACTGGCGAGTAGTATTTATATATTTTATATAACATTAAATTCTAAATATGTTTCAGAGTAGAACGGCCGTACTGTGTAATTCTCCGAATTATGCGTCAAATTAAAATAAATATAAAAAAAAAANTCTGACACTACAACCTGCGGCTTTCCATAAGTGGCAATATAATCATTAGTCATTCGATTGATCATAGCTAACGCGGTAGCTTTCTTCAAAGGATACAGTCGAACAAAACTAAAAATAAGGGCTCCACGACTCTCTAAAGTTTGGAGTTTATTAAGTAAAAATCATAACAGACTTTAACGTTATGGGTCTGAAATCGATAAGCGCTACCAGTTTTAAGTAATAGACTACCTGTTTTGTCAAAGTAAATCGGTAATTCATATCACTACATAAAATAATAATATACCGTGACACGGCCACGGCGTTGTCACACGTTGACACCACGCGGTCGTGTCAGCTCCTTCTCAGCCACCGCTTAACTGTAAACCGGACCGTCACACACACGCGTTATCGTCGTGGTGTAAAGTCCAACAAATGCCTAGCGTCGTATACCCCGCCGCAATAATACGTACAGTCAGTTATCCCCGTGACACCTTTATATGCGTTTCCTTTTCGGTCTTCGTTTTTCTGTTTGTGCTCTCGATACTTGTACTACGGATATACATATTTTTTTCTTAAGTGTTTTCTTTCAATATCATCTACTGACTCTGCACCATACAACTGAGTCTATCATTCTCAATACTTTGTTTTTTTTGTTTTTCTTCTTTTATTGTAATTTACACAATAAACTTCGGGTCACGCCCGTGAGTACTCAGACACCTTGTGCGTTTAAATTCTTTCACAACAACCGGTATCAACCGTTTAGAAAAACTACTTCTTTTTTTCTTCAAATATCGTATATTTTAAAGTAGTTTATCTTGTTTAAAATTCATAATTTTTAATTTTTTTTTTTTTTTGCTAAGCACTTTTTTTTATAACGAACAAAAATATATAAAAAATATACGGAGTTGTTATTTGAAAATCTGAAGTTAATACAAGTTCTAAGTATAAGGGATGTGGTGATGGAAATTTAATTTTTCTTGTGAAACGACCATCAAAGATCCCATAAAGATAAAAAAAAAAAATTGTTTATAAAACTTGTATATTTAAAGATATTACGTGAATAGCATCTATCCCATATTGTAAATGCTGCTGTGTATTTACAGAAAATAGTCAATTGTTGAACTATTGGATTTTATGTATCAAACACAATATCTTTAACATAATATATTATATTTTCTTTCGAAACGTTAATTTTTATACCAGGAAAAGTAATTTAATTATAATAGTGTTTATTAACATAAATAAATGAAGTCTATGTACCCCCCTTAATTTAAAACGGTATCATTAAGAAAATAGTTAAATAAAACTCGGCATAAGAGTAATAATCGATAGTTGATAACTAGATAATCGATAGATAAGGCCATTTGATTCTTCGGGCTAGTCTTCTGCTTATTCTTCATTCAACGTTTTACATCGTAGGTGGCAACTGTAAGTATTCTTGTTATCTGTTATTGTAAATTAGCCTTTTTTGACGCGCATATTTAAAAATGAATAAGTTATTTTATATTAAAATTTCTTTAGTTTGTTATTAATATAGTTTCAATATTGAAATTACGTGTTTATTCAAAAATGCCTTAAATATATTGTTAATATTGAATTAATAATTTTAATATTGTACGTCTTTAATTTATGAGGCTTTACTAAGGTAAACTCTAATGCCGCTGTTAGATACAAAGAGACCCAAAGCAAATATGGTTTTTTGAGGCCTTGTTATATTTTTTTGTTATAATTGAGACTTTTTCTTTTACTTTTTTCTAACTTTGATTGGTTGCATTAGGTCCGCGCCCAAGAAATCCCGTTCTCTAGCGCAAAACAATTCTGTAACTAATATCTAAAATTTTGTTTTGTCAAAAAAATGTGTTTTTTAGTTTTGTAAAATACATGTCACTCGTGTCTCTTGCATTCTAAACCCCTTATATCGCAGTACGAGTATTTTGTACTGAATATTTTTATTTTTTCTATCGCTTTCTGATTTTTAGCTTTCGTTTTTCTGTTTGCAAGACTCGTAGCCACAAAATTTTGTAGTTATGAGGTGCATCTAAAATAACATGTAAAGAGTTTAAATTATAAAATTTATTTTTCCATGTAAAATATTTAGAATGAACTTCACTGCTATAAATAGTTCTTTGAAATATTTTTTTAATCTAATTAAATTTTAACAAAACAATTATTTTTATCACTAATTTTAATCTATCTTATCTAAACAATATGATGATTGACATTTCACTAAAAGTTATATCTATTTTTTAATTAATGAATCATAATTAAAAGTGTAAATAAGGAGGTTAATGTAATTAAAACTCCTTATAAATTATCTATAGATCTATGTCTAATTATTATTATTTTGTTCTAGATGTATTTCACTTTCACCAATTGTGGGGGGGTAGGTGGAGGTGGAGGTAAAAAAAGGGGGCCACCACAGCCCAAATATGAAAGCAAAAAAAAATTTAGAGGTGGTAAGTTATTAAAAATTTTTTTACATAATGTTCTATTACTATAGAGGTGAGTGGGGTAATTGTTAATTTATATTTTCTCCAGGATTATTTATCAGCTTTTATTTTATTTTAAAAGTTCTGGTCCTTATACGTGTTACTATCATTAAATATAACATGGAAATATAATCATGTGCATTGATCATTTAAAATACATTCATAACTACCCCAATTTACCTTATATTTGGATTTAAAAAAAACTTTAATTGAAGATTACAATGATTTACACTATTTTTATCAATTTCAGCTTGCAATCACTGTGGCCAGAATGGCCACATTGTTAATCATTGTCATGTAAAAGGTAATAATTTTGTTTAATTCTCACTAGTAGTATAACCTATTATTTAGTTAGCAAATATTGGGTTATACTTTCAATGTGTTTTTATTCATGTATAATGTTTAATTTTGTCATTATACTTAATTGAGACTAATAAAATTATTGCTAATTTCAATTATTTTTTTTAGCTGCTGGTCTGCCTCCAATAGCAAAAAAGTGCTCTTATTGTGGTCTCCCCGGGCACGGGGAAATGGAATGCCATGTCAAAGATAATATTTGTGATATATTTCTTTTTAAATTTAATAACATTCTAAAAGTAATTTTTTCTCATCTAAAAACTGTTTTTTTAATTTTTATGTCTTGCTTTAATAATTAACGTAAGCCTAAAAGTTAATCCTGATTTATTTTATGTCGCATATTTAATAAATGGTATTGTGTCAATTGTTACTAATGTCGTCAACCCATAATTATTTTGTAAATTTTAGTTTTAAGGAATTTATATGTAACATCGTGTAATTACTAGAAAGTAAGATTATACTGCCTAATACTTTAATTGAAGAAAGTATTATGGTTTTAATATTTAATGTTTATTTAATGAACACTGTAAATAAAAAAGGGGACTTGACCATCTTCTCGGTGGTCAGTGTTCAATAAGTGAATGTTACATTATAATTGTTATTATTTTGACTCTTCCTGACAACACTTATCCGCGTGATCGAACTTGGACTTAGAACACCCAGTTCATCACACTAAATCAATCATGAATAGTACACTAATTAAACAATATTGAAAATTATGATCTATTTTTACCTTGATAATAAATCCTTATTTTTTAATTATAGCAGCTGGATATCCACCTATGGCAACGATATGTGACTATTGCCATTACCCCGGGCACGGGGAACAGGAGTGCCACATTAAAGATACTTATTTATTTTAATATTTTTTCATTTGGTTTTTTAAGGTTTGTTGACAACCTTTATAAGATGCATTTTATATTTCTAGTTTATCTAGTTTATAATAAATTAAATTTGATTTTTAAATTTCAGTTGTTATGTACAACCTTAATTTTTAAAAATCAACATAGTAAAATTTATATTTTTATAATTAAATAAACAATTGATTAAAAGAAAAATTCTAACTAACAACAATTCTGATTGTAAAATTTTAAGTTCTATAACATTTTTTATTAATAAAAATTGCCTAATAAGTTTTAAATATGTGGAAAAAAATATATTTATTAATACTAAGGAATTTTTTATAGGTTCAATTTAATGAACACATAATCTATATAAATCTATTTTCAAATTTTATGTTGGCTTATGTAATTTTACACACAAAATAATTCAAATTACAGTGGTGCAAATCTTAGAGAATGCTACAATTATAGTTTTTTGAAATTGAAGATTTTAACTACTTCTTTTTTTTTATAACTTTATGAAACAATGATAAAAATACAATTATAAAGTAAATTGATAATATAGAATTTCAAAATATTTCTCAATTCCCTAAACGTTGGACCACTGTAAAACAATACCTATAAGATAACTAATTTAAACAAAAACATTTTTTTTAGCAGCAGGATTGCCGCCGCCGCCAACAACAAGCGCTTGGAAATAAAATATATATATATATATATATGTATATCTATATATTGACTTATATTATTTAATTATAATAAATTATATTATAAAAAAAATCTTTGTTGATTTGCTTTTATATGTCTTTCTTCATTGTATTTAATACAAAGTTCATAACCAGGTTCGTCGACCTAACAGAATATTGCAATTAAAAAAAGTGCTTAATACGTTTGATAACGTATTGACACACGTACTGGTCTCATCAACTTTACATTTATAACAATGATCGTAGACGAGTCCCTGTAATTTCATAACATATTTCGAAAGCTGATATTTTACATTAATTAGTTATCTAATTTGAACTTAATAGAACTATTATTATATTAAATTATTGAAATGTTTGAAATTTATTATTTTTTATCGTTCATAAATATATTAATTCATCAGCATGGTATGACAACTCGTTAACAGACATTAAGTTTTTAATTGTTTCTACCACCATTTCATTTACAAAATTATGATACAATTTTTTTTTAAGACATGGAGCATGATATTTTAAACTTTAATACCGTCTTTATCATTAAGTAGTAATTTAAAAATATATTGATGATTATAATAAAATTTAAAATAAAATTACGAAAAACTAAATGAGTTTCTCCGCTAAACCAACAATTCAATGTTTAATAAACGTATAAACTAAGTACACAGTTCTATATATTTTACAAAGCATAAGTAAGAGGCATTCAAAAACGCTAATAGCCTTTTAGTTGAATTTAAAGCAATCGCGACTCCTTAAATTTTGTCCAAATTACGCCGTAAAATAAAAACACTGATAAGAGCATTATTTGT